ACTAGACAAAGACATTTAATAAATATATAAATATACGGGCGAAGTTAGTTACATAAACAAAGAACTATATATGTATGTATATATACAAACACACACACACACATACACACATACAAATATATATATATATATGTTTGTTTTTGAAGTTAACCATAAAGCTACACAATGGGCTATCTGTGCTCTGCCCACCACGGGTATCGAAACCCGGTTCCTAGCGTTGTAAGTCCGCAGACATACCGCTGTGCCACTGGGGGGGGGGGATATGTATATATACTGCAATACTTTTCATATATAAAAACGAATACTATTTACTATCAGTGCTTATTTATATGGCCCGGCATGACCAGGTAGTTAAGGCACCCGACTCGCAATCTGAGGGTCGCGGGTTCAAATCCCTGTCACACCAAACATGCTCGCCCTTTCACCGTGGGGGCGTTATAATGTGACGGTCAATCCCACTATTCGTTGGTAAAAGAGTAGCCCAAGAGTTGGCGGTGGGTGGTGATGACTAGCTGCCTTCCCTCTAGTCTTACACTGCTAAATTAGGGACGGCTAGCGCAGATAGCCCTCGTGTAGCTTTGCGCGAAATTCAAAACAAACAAACAAGCTTATTTATAGGCTGTACTGCTAATTCTAGAGTTTATCTCAATGACAAACACTTTAAGATTTTCTGTATCAGTACTTTATATTATTTATGGTTCAGAGAAAATCTTCAAACTTTATGTAAATTTATATGAATTGTGAAGCACGGGTTAAAAGGTGCGCTATGCTTAAATTACTTGTAAAGCACGGGGTCAAATTAAGTGTGTAATGCTTGAGCTTATATTAGCTTATAAAACATTTAAGCGATTTTTTATTTACTTTTTGGTTAAGAACGTTTACGAAACACGAACAGGTGATTTCTCTGAATGTAATCAAATCTTTGCATCCCGTTCTTATTTGTATATCTTACTAGGAATCAACGTTATATGTAATCACTGGTCATAATGTTAGAAACCTCCTCTACCTATGAAAAAAAAACAAGCAAACCGGTCGTCACGCTGGTTCAGCAGTAAGTCTGGGGACCTATAACGCTAAAAATCGGGTTTCGATTCTCGAAGTGGGCAGATTAAAAATAGCCAATTACATAGTTTCGTGCTTCACAACATACAAACTAGAATACAAAAAAAACGTGTTAGGTAAATACAAACATCGGGAGTCTTATAGAGACGGTAAATTATACAAGCATTAGTTGTCACTACAAAGGGAAATATTACATTTTTTTACTGAGCTTTGAACGAGGTGTTATTGTTGGGCCCGATTGGCACGTGCCTCAATTGCGAGGTGGTTAATCAAAGGCGACCGTGTCTTGAGTCTACACTGTATGGTTATCAGAACAAATACTTCGTCTAGTAGAAGAACTGTTCGGGCTAATGGACGGTCAGCTCTGCATGAATTGACGTACGGCTTTAATAATGGCCCAGGAATATCCATTTCCACCAGAATAATGCGACGGAAGCTGCGGAAAATTAACTTGATTAATCGTGCCTCCTCACGTAATGGACTTATTTCTGTCAGCAATTGAAAGAGGCGTCTCCAATGGTGTGTAGATAATCAGGATTGTACCACTGTACAATGATAACGTGTAATGTGGCCAGATGCACACACTTCACATGGTTCTGCAATGAAGGTAGGGGTAGATTGCGGCGACAACTCAAGGAGTCATGAGCCGATCCTACACACTGTTCACTGTACAAGGTTCTGAAGGCGATATAATGTTGTTGAGCTCAATTACACGGCATGAGCTAAGCCTCTGGTTCCTCTGAATAGTCATATTTCTGTTCATGAATATATGACCATCTTAACTGCCCAGATGCATTCCACTGTGCTCTACTTCTACCCAAATGGATGTACTTACTTCCAGGACGATAATGACTCCAGCCATTGAGCTAAAGTTGGTCGTGATAGGTTCACTGGGGAATGAGCATGATATAGAATTCCAACATCTACCTGATTTACACAGTACCCTGATATCAACCCTATCAAGAATCTATGGAACCTTTTAGAATGAGACGCAGCCAATTACAATCATCTCTACCTGGACTGGAAAGGATATTGATTAAGGAATGGTCAAAGATTGAAGCAGATACCTCCAGACATTAGTGAATTCAATACAACGTCTTATCAAGGCACGTGGTGGCCCAACATGTCATTAGGTTGCAAATGTTTTGTATTTGTTTGTTTGTGTATTGAATTTCGCGTAAAGCTACTCGAGAGTGATATCTGCGTTAGTCGTGTCTAAGTTAGAAGTGGTAGACTAAAGGAAAGGTATATAGTAAAGACCACTAACTAACGAAAAGTGGAATTGACTTTCACATTATAACGTCCCCACAACTGAATGGGCGAGCGTACACAACGACGGAAAGAAATTTGTAATTAGTTTATAATTAATTTTTAATTAGATTACAATGAACACTCATGAAATTGCACCAAACTGTAATCAACGGGTAAAATCCATGGGTCAGGTATGACAAGCAATATATACAAATATCGTTTGAAACGTGTTTTGATACGGTTGTCACAGCACGTTGAACATTTATTAATTTCCACCAATGGCTTCACTCGTTATTCACTTTTGTTTGCTTGTTTGTTATTAAGCACAAAGCTACAAAAAGGGCTATCTGTGCTCTGCCCACCACGGATATCGAAACCCGGTTTCTAGTGGTATAAATCCGCAGACATACCACTGTGCAACTGGGGGAGCTATTCACTTGTTAGTTTTTATCATTTTTCACCAATGGAGTTGGGACATAAAATAATTCTATTCCTGTTATTGTTAACAAATGGTTTCGTTTTATTTTCAGTTTCTATCAGCCTATACACGTGAGATGAGTCTATAATAGATTACACCTATATATAATATTCACCTGTATTTTGTTCTAATATTACACATATAACCGCTGCGAAAAATATCAAGTCGTTCAAATTTCGTGATAAAAAGAATGTATAAAAGACCAGTTATTTCTTCTTTTTTGTAAGTGTAACATGGAATTCTACTTTAATTCACAAATTATTAAACATCAATACAATAAAATAATTAAACTGTTTTAATATTTGTGTGGAAAATAGTTTAAGAAATTTTAAATAACTTAATTCTAAAAATAATAATAATTGGTATTAATATAAATATATAGTACTGTTTTAATCCTAACCTTAATTGTAGTTTGTTAGTTATTCATATTTCACCAACTAAATCTAGTTGACACCACAACAGTTGTTTGTCGAATTTGATAGTATAAATTGCGTCTCAATTATCTGCTGTGTCTGTTGTATCCCAGCCGGCCTGATAAGACCTGGTATTGGGCGAAAGGCCTTGTCGGCATAGTACGGTTGACATATTGTTATACATTCCTTTTTTACTTTCACTCATAAGTTCTCGGAATTACTTAATCCTCAGACACCCTATGAATATGATTAATCTAATAAATTGCGAAAATGTGCTGCCATCTATACATGTAAATATTCACTAAATGAGTAATATACATGGATGCCATCACCCACACACAAAACTGAGTAAAAAAGCAATAGATACTGCTATTCTTCTTATATATAGACAATATAAATCCAAAATTGGGAATTTAAAAACCTATAAACAGGGATCGTAAGAAAGTAAGCAAACAAGACTGGAGATACTCCAGACATTATTTACTGAAACTACAAACTCCTATTTTTGCTCCATGCTGTTACATAGAATTACATTTGGTGGAGTCAAAATAGGATTTGTAGGTTGAATAAATAATATTTACAGTATCTCCAGCCTTGTTTGCTTACTTTCTTATAATCCCCATTTCCAGGTTTTTAAATTCCCAATTTTTTATTTATCTTGTTTGATGGCTTTTTTTTATGCTCAACTATGGGCAAAGGATTACTTGATGTTATAACTAACTTTATACATTGTAATGATAATAAACATAGCTAGTAGCTAGCTGATACGGTTCATGATGATTTACTGTAGCTACTGACTATCTGATCGCATTAGTATGAGATACAAAATGTTAAGCTGCGAATGGAGATTGTCATGGAGATTTATTCGAGAATATAGTGAGCATTTATAGTTTCTGTATAACTAAATTTTCTATATGTGATGCATAGCAATGGGCAAATACATGCCTAGACTAAAACACAACCCGAGTAAGAGCGTATAAAATTTTACCAGTAGAAAAGCAGCCTTTTCAAATAAAACATATACGTCTGGAACATTGCTTTAAATAAACCTTTGTGTCTTTTAAAGTAATTATTCTACGAAGGCGTGTAATGAAATTTAATGTTATGCGTATTGATTTTTTTTTCTCCTTCAATTCATACATAACATAGGGGTTGGCTCCCTAAAGACGTCAATTGTATAGTGTACAAAGCATTGAGTATCTACGTGTTACAGTCATCTAATGTTCATCTATTATTGGCTGGAGATTCTTATTTCATCCTGTATTTAAGCTTTTAAAAGAAGCAACAGATAATGGTAAAAAAGCTAACTTCAAGGGATAATGATAACATCGTTTGCACTAGAATTCTGATGTTTTTTTAGCTTATGTAAGATAACAAAGAAGAAACAAATCGACATTTCAATACCCCTGCGACCTTTGCAATACCTTATTTGGTATTTTACAAAAGGTTTGAGTGCAATATACCAAGCCGTTTTTGTTTCAGGTTGGTAAGAGAATAATAATAATAAAAAGAAGAATTACAAACGGGCCGTTTTGAGCGGATTTTCTTTTCCTTGTAAGTCTAACATTGTACTTTTTCTGTTCATTTTTATGTGTGTAAAGCCTTAGTGGTCAATAGTACAGGTTGTAAAGTGTCGTTTGAAATGAATATTACTGTTTAAGGTGCTTTTTGCCCGAACGTTTTGTGCAATTTCTTGTGATCCCTATTATGAACCAAGATCGTGGTTCGTGATACAAGAATACTAAATGAATCACGATGAAGTAATAAAGACAAATGTAAAGACATATTATATTTACCTTTTTTGGAGAATCAGAAAAATCTGTGCTGTAATCAGTGGATATGTCTCCTTTATTTCTGACCATTCCATCCATACTAGAAATCTGCTTCAGTTCTGCTGGGGTAGGTGGAGGAGGCAGGTCCTCTTCTCGATACCTAAACTTCTGTGAAAAATAAATCATACATTTTAGCTTCTTAGAAATGCCTCTGAATATTTTACCTAAAATAAAAGCAGTAGATAAATCTATTGCTTGGACACAACGTAACTATACCTATATTTTATAACCGTATACTAAAAGTATTCATGGCATCCACCATTGGTACTTATGCTTCCTCTAAAGGTAAACTTATTATGTCATACAATAACCTTACAGACATAATTCATTACATTATCATACCCATATATTAAGTTATACTAAAACTACTTGGGACCCAATCACGTCATTATAGTCCAGTCATGTTCTAACTGGTCGCCATACATACAACAGACAAAGTAGATTTAAAATGTGCAAGTAGACCAAACCCAAACTACTTAAATCAAGCTTATACCATGATATTACCTCACCGCTCTTCATGGTTGGGACTATATTGCCATATTAAAAGCGAAAGAAGACCCACATGCTAATTTCCCATTACTATGTACTGCAATTTCGATGTTGTGTTGTTATGTGTTGCAGTCCGACACCTAGCAAAGCATTCAAGCCGGTGAAAAAAGGTGTATGAACTTCAGTCCGACACCTAGCAAAGCATTCAAGCCGGTGAAAAATGATGTATGAACTTCAGTCCGACACCTAGCAAAGCATTTAGGCCGGTGAAAAAAAGGTGTATGAACTTCAGTCCGACACCTAGCAAAGCATTCAAGCCGGTGAAAAATGATGTATGAACTTCAGTCCGACACCTAGCAAAGCATTTAGGCCGGTCAGAAAAAGGTGTATGAACTTCAGTCCGACACCTAGCAAAGCATTTAGGCCGGTAAACAAAAGGTGTATGAACTTCAGTCCGACAGTAACAAGAAGTTCCACGTACACAGTAAACGCCCTTGTCTACGAACTTGGCCTGTAACATTCGGTACAGTGCAATAATTCTTTGTAGATATACTAAAGAGGCCACGAACAAAACGAATCTAAAGTAACGAAAATAGTCATCAGAGGGCTCTACAGCTGCTTAATGTGACCATATTTCATGTCAAATATGGCCTACATCCTTCGGATGACGTGACAGCCAGCTGACCAAAAATGTCCAGTATTCGACATAGTTACATGATGTCGGATGGCCCACTTGATTTTTTGGCTATGGAGCTATCTAAGTCAGTTACGTATTGTTGAGTTGGCAGACTTGACAGATGCTATATAAACTAATTCTAGAAATAAAAGTTCTCTAAAGCACAATCCTAAACGTAACGATCGTAAAATTTCGGGTAAGTCGATAAAAAAAATCTATATAAAGTAACGATCACGAATTTTCATCCAGGTTCAGTGAATTCTTTAATACAGATTTCAGCATAATTTATGAGAACCCTTAATGCATGGCGTAGTGCCAGTAAACACATCTTGTGTCGCATACAAGTTGACATCTGCGTTAAGACTGGTAATATTTACTCCGAAAACTTGTCGTATTATGCTGTGATTTTCCGAAAAACTTTCTCTTCTGTGATCCATATTTGCATTCTAGCTGTGCATATGTGATTAAATAACAAAATTACATAGAATAATAAGCATGTATGCTACTTTAAGAACAATGTTATGGTAGGAAAACCTAATTACTTTACTCAAAAAAATGCATGCTTCAAGGCCCAATACTGCATATGTTTGATTTGAAAAAAACAATAACACACTTTCAGGTTGTGTGTTACCAATTTTGATAAAGAATCTGAGATTAGACGTTGTAAGTGACGTAGATAAGTGCAATGAATAGAAATAATAACACACGAAACTGGGTAGTCATAAGTTCTAAGATCCATAATTCCAATTTACGTCAAAGACTTTAAACAAGAAAACGAGATATGGAACCACCCTTGGGTTTTCAATGCTAAAGCAATTGAAACAACTGTACTTTTAACTGATCATGACATCAAAAACAATAAGTTAAAATTCACAGTCAATGGGCAATGAATCACCCACTCTTTCACACCATTCCATTTCAAACATTGCCCAAGGAATATTTATTTATTTTACTTCTTAATTGTACACATGAATTTAATCTGTTTCAAACATCATTTGAAGCTGAAAGTTGCAAAGAAGTATTGTAGGAAGCCTAAAAATAATAATACTCTCATATTTTATGTTAAATATTACTTTCCACGGTCGACTCGTATTCTACAAGAAGTTACATGGAAAGTCAAACGTGTGATGGACTGGCCTTACTTCCAAGTATAAGTTCATAGAATATGAGATATAAGCAGGCACACTCTGCAGTTTTTGAAGATGCTGGTACAAAGATAAATAGTTTTTTATAACTCAATGTTTTGTAGATCGAAAATGTTTAACGATCTTACAAGTTATAACTGAGTGGCCAAGAGATCATGACACTTATGCCATTCTTTATTGAAAAAAAAGGGAAACATAAACAACAACTTAAACAGTTTACAAGTTCTGTACAAATAATAAAACAAGATGAACTGCTCACAGTTTAAGTAAATAATCAAGAGACAGTCTTCATGTAACAGTTTAGTATTCATAACACAGGCCTGCGATGGTTTTATTGTCTTGAAATTTTTACCCATTCTACAGTAATTCCTGTACACTGAATCCGAAAATGATATCCATTTTTTCTCCATCACTTACAGATTTTTCGCAAAACGTCGTACGTACGTTTACATTAGTGAAGCTCCCAAGTGGCACAGCGGCATGTCTGCGGACCAACAACGCTAGAAACCGGGTTTCGATACCCGTGGTGGGCAGAGCACAGATGGCCCATTGTGTAGTTTTTGTTTAATTACAAACAAACACAACTGAATAATTTTCATTGAAATCGGGTCACATTTTGTTATGCTTAAAATGTTGACAACCACTGGCTATATATTTCTCTAGACCAATCGCGATATGAGAGTTTTGTCGATCATTCTAGAACTCAAACATAACAAACATAATAATAAAACAAGTTCATTGTGGTAAATAAAATAATAATTTGATCAAAGTAAGAGTTTTTTTATCCCGATTTGTAAAAAAATCCTTACGTGATAGAAAAAATAATAATATTATTTTCGAAATCGGCGTAGCTGAATTATGAAAAATCCGCTATTAAAACCAGATCAACTTTTATCAAGTTTAAATTCGCAGGCCTGTGCAATCAATAAGATTTGTTTAATTCTCCCATTCTTAATATGGTTCCCAATGCGGTCTCGACTGAAAACATCATAGGTTGGTAATGTTCACTATCTTCTCACGCATTTGTAGTAAAAAAACGTTGTATCTACAGGTGGATTTTTTTCATCTAAGTGGAAACTTTACACATTAAAATTATTCTACGGTGCAGTGCAGTCGTCATATTCAGTTTTTCACACAAAAATAGCGATAAGTGAAGAATGAGATTTTCTGTCACACGTTATTATTAACCAATTCTTATTTTACCCATAAAAACATGATATTCTTACACACACACACCATAATAAGCTGAGCTGTGTCCACCGCGAGGAATAAAACCAAAATTTTCGTGTTGTAAGTCCGTAAATTTACTGTTGACCAACCGAGGGCCTAAAAATCTAGAAGCTGATAACATGGACATAGTAATTAATATTCATGAATAAAGGTTGGCTCCACGCTATTCTAACAGTGCTATTTCACACTTTCACAAATGTGAAGACAAGTACTTAACAATTATATGGGTTTTTTCTCAGTGTATCCATATATTATATGCTGTTTATATATATATATATACATTTGCAAAAACTGTTAATGAAAAAAATTAGCGATAACAAATTACTTCAAAACTCTAGAAAATAAAATAATAATGGTAATTAACGTTGAAACATTAGTCGAAAACTTGGGTATTTTAAATCTGTATTCTTTCACATATAATATCACAATTTCTGTGTTTCCCCTTGAAAATCTGCTACGCTTGTGACAACTCTAAGTTTAGAGCAGCCAATAAGGACTGAATGATGGATTTCTGCTGTTTTAGTACAACTGGTAGAATCACTCGAGAAACACATAGGAGTCTTGCTAACGTACATGTATAAATAACGATTCTCGATCTATTACCGCAAACCCATGTGCAGCATCAAATATCGTCTACATGTTTTCTGCTGTTTTCGTACGACTGGTAGAACCACTCGAGAAACACACAAGAGTCTTGCTAACGTACATGTATAAATAACGATTCTCGATCCATTACCGCAAACCCATGTGAAGCATCAAATATCGTCTACATGTTTTCTGCTGTTTTCGTACAACTGGTAGAAACACACAGGAGTCTTGCTAACGTACATGTATAAATAACGATTCTCGATCCATTACCGCAAACCCATGTGCAGCATCAAATATCGTCTACATGACAAATGGATTTGGTATAAAAATGTCACGATCCTATGTTTACCCATGACAGGGCAAACATCTACAAACAAAAATACGCTCAGACGTACAAATTCAAAACCCATAACTGGTGTATATAAAAACATATAACTGAAGATCGACGATGGGAACAAAGTACAATAAAACCTCGTGATGTTTTTATAATACCACATCGATCATTCCTTTGTTATTAACCTTCCACATAATAAGACAGTTGAACAATGGGTCAACAAGATGAAATAGATGTTACTGAATAAAGCTTGAACCTCAAGCTTTAAATTTTCCACATGACGTAGTATTGTAATTAATTGTTACTCAGATCACCAAATAATATACAACGCGATTGTGAAGTGCTTCGTAATAAACTGCTCTAAGTAAAACAGTAAAAAAAGTGTTCTATTTATATCAAAAAGTACAACAAACAAACGGACGTTTTTTGTTGTTTTTCCTTTTGCTTGTTTTGTTACGACAGCGGAAGTCACGCGACGCTGGGAGAATGCGCGCTGGAGTTTCTCGAAGGATCATAAATTTTCCTGGCAGCTCTAGTTTGTTCGAGGTGCCCTCTTTTTTTAGTAACAAAGTCTGGCGAGAAAAACCAGCGCAATTGCAGAAATAGATATGCAGATAGATTGAAGAGATAGATAATTGAGTCAAGC